ATAGTTGGAACATGGAGCATGGACAGATCTTCTTCAAACTCAAAATACAGCACAGTTAAAATTTGAGGAACTCAAATCGGGAAAGCAATTAGGGAAAACCCTACCTAACCCACGTAGGTGTCAGGGATTTTTCTCCCTGATCGTTATATATGTATTAGTGAGGAAACTCTTTGGCACCTTTCTCTTTACCGAGCTAGCTGCATAGATAAATCACCTCTCATTAACAATTCAGAAAGATGCACTGATGTCTGAGACCTCAGAGGAACCTAATTTTCTAGCCGTTCTCTGACCAACTTAACTCAGACCACTTTGTATGAAAAGCTCTGGCAGGTATGAATGGTACCCACTTCTTACATTGCAGCTGAGTGTTTGAAGCCCTTGCCTCAAAAGCAGGAGTCTAGCTTCAACAGAAGGAGGATATCCAGAAAGGATAACCCATCCCTTTGATCCAAAAAGGTGATGTTGAAGGCACTGCCTTGCATGCAAAACACATTAGGATAATGCGAGAGCTCTCATGGCTCCATAACAGCATAGGAACACTACAATTTATAAGGTACCATCCTGCAAATGAGAGGTCAACATCTTGCCTCACAAAGACACACAGCAATTCCAAGCTCTGATTCCTGGCTTGATACAAGAGCATAGCTTATAACTTCCCCCTGCCTTGGTGCTAACCTACTGAGAACTTTAACACTTTGAGACTCCCAGACCAAACCTGCGTGTGGGGGACCTTTGGCATTATGAATTCAACTTCTTCAGCAAAGGTCAAGTACCGAGGGAATTTAGAAGCTATGACTCAGATAACAAACTTTTTTACAACTTCCATAATCTCAGAATTGCTTGGGGCATGTAACCTATATATTGGTCTCTTGCTAGACTGTTGAATGGAGAAAGCATTCCCTGACAAAAGAGAATAGCTGATAAAAGTGTTACACTGCATGCTTGCTTCTCTACTGAAAAGTAGTATTTGTCTGAGCATATTTATTGTACAACTAATTCCATCTTTGTTTGCACTTTCTAGATACTGCCTACCAGCACAGATGTCCTATGTTGAAAAATATGACAATTTTGAAATTAGATTACTCGGCATATATAATGTCAACAGATGTTTTGGAAATATGGAAATATGTCCCATTTTCACACAGCAGACTTCTGCTGCTTTTTCCCACAAAACATCCAAGGTAACAGAAATGTGATGAGCCTAAGGTTTTGGAGCAGCCATCGGCCACCCTGGAGGATCACTGGCAGGGAATTGTTGTGGTAGGCTCAAACAGGTTAAGGGAAATCCCTTTGGTAACCAGGCTTCCCACGCCAATATAATTTCATATTCCAGCCACTGATTAAAACCACTCTACCATGATTGCTACAAGAATGTGTGTCCACTAAAATCCATTCAATCACTTACCCAGGGTGGTTTGACTCATTTACATGAGGCCTCTTTATGTTAGCTTAGCAACGTGGAGCAGTCATAAAATGGATGCAAATACAAAATAAGCCTTTCTCCATGCTGTGCCCATACCATCTCTGCATAATCTCCCAAGCCTTAGTGCCCTGATGCTCCCCATCCCACTCTTTTGTTGTCCCTCTTAGAGTACCCTGTGTGAAAGTAAATCATTAGCTGCTTAGGGCAGGGACATGTAATTATAGGTATTGAAAGCATGCAGAGAATACGCTGGAAAAAATGTTTTCATAAAGAAAATACTCTCTTTGCTAATAAATAACTTAGAATTTCCTCTCATTGTCAGTGGATGGGAGAATCTTGGCTACTTTATTTCCACTACAGTGTTGCCTAAGAATCACAGCTCCCTTTCTAAGCCCTTTTGCATCTCAGAGATGACAGTTTTCAGCATATGTAGATTACTTTCTTCCCTCTCCTCCCTCCCCACACATATCTCCTGTCAGTTACAGTTTGTAAACTGGTTCTATCTGAGGAACAGCTAAGGCTTCCCCACCCTCAGATATTTCATACCCCAGTGCTTGCCCCTCCACAATACCTGAGGTGGGCATGAGCTCCTCTACTTTCCTCATCCTCTGAGGACCCTCACAGAGACAAATGATGACCTACATTGATTTGATTTTAGAGTGCATTATGTGTGATCTCTGAAAAAAATTTCTCAGAATGTGAACTAAATCTGAAATAACTGTTATATATATATATATATCCATGAAAAAGGCAATCTGTTTATGGATGTGGAAAATTAACATGGTCTTCTAAAAACGACTTATTAAAAATGCAGTCTTAACCCTAAATGTCCTTAAGAGATATGCAAATAAGCCATTGCCAGCATGTAACCTGCAAAGAGATTACCAGGGAATTCATCATGGGGCACAAGAGCAGAGTGTTTAGAGCGTCCTGGTGTTGCACTTGAAATGAGTCCACTTCCTAATGGACTTCTGCTGTAATCACACACTTTCCCAGCCAGTCTATATGAATGCACACAAGGTCACAAGCATGGGGGATCCAAGGACAGACAGATAAGATACAAATCACATCACCTTCCTGCTTCTTATTGGTATGCTTCAACCACACCAGCCCAGCAAGCCATCCTAATCAGGAGCCACAACCTCAAAACCTCACACAATCCTCAGATCCAGGGAAGAGGGTTCAGGGCCATCACTTCCTTTCTTTGTCATGTTGGCCCATTTCCCAAATAAATAACAAAATACACGTGGGATTTTCTGTTTTCATTCCATCCTTCACCCGTATTTACAAATGATGAAAACATATACAAGCATACTACTACCTATTGTTACAGTCCCTTACTTTGGGACAGAAAATTATTTCCTTTTTCTAAATAAAGAAAATTATACAAAAAATATATGTTAATTCTCCCATAATATTTTAGAAGGGTTTTTTTATTTTTAGAAAAATATTCCATCTACAAGATTTGAAAACTGAGATTTCAGAGAGCATCTGGGAAGTCAAAGTACTTACTGTCACTTTTGCAAGGGATATTTTTGCATCTATCTTTTCATCTCTTTTCTAAAACAAATGACAAAGATGCTCTGGTAACCTAGACAGTATCCAGTGCATGAGAGAAAGTGAAAAACCAAATTAATAAGTGGCATTTTTTAAAATAACCTGCTCACAGACACTTTTTTTTTCCAGGCTGGTAAACATGTTGAGATCTGAGGGCTTAAGTTACTGATTATTTTTTTGTTTGTTGTTTCCTGTTTAATGTCCTGAGGATATTTGCATTGTCTACATAAACGCCACAGGTTAATTAAGTATTATCTTTAAATATATTTCCTTTTATCAGTTTTAATTGCAGAGGCTTTCCATTTCAAAGCAAAGTCCCTTTTGATGAAATCTTCAGAAAGTAAATAGAAGCTGCAGATTTAGCTTCTTATTAATATTCACTATCTTGTATACCTTCATTGTGTCTTTTTTTCTTTTCTAAAATTCATTACTTCATCTCTTTCTTCAGATCGAAATTGCCTCATGCTTCTATGTTTTTGCCATGTACCTGTTGGCCTCTTCTCATTTATATGTATTGCAGTATAGAGTTAATAAAGTGATGGCACTATATCTTTCCATTTTTTCCTTGTTACACTATTGCTCTTTGCAGATTACTGGGGAGATTTATAGTGAGCTGTCCAAGGTAGGCTCCAATCCTGTACTTCCAACTCCATGGTCACTTAATAGAAAGGGCTTAATTATATCAATGTCACATCTGGCATTTCAGCTGTTTCTAATTGGACTGTCTCATATGTTACAAAAAGAGTATTATTTATCTGTTGTAGCTTAGAGCCAGATACTCAAAGTCACCTCTTTTGGAGTCTTTAACCAATTGTTATCTTACATCTTATTGATCTCCTTTGCTTTTTTTCATGGAAAATAGTATGGTCAGGACACTGGTAATGAAATAAATGTCATAATCTGTGTAATACATACAGGCAGTTTATATCTCTAAGCATTTCATGTACTAAGAAAGTGTACCTCTTTGAAGAATATAAAATAATTTAGGTGTAGCACTATTCAACTATTCAATGACTTAAATCTACTCATTACGAATAGTCAAATCGAGTTTTTTAAACATTTTATTTCTATCTTTCATTCCTCCAGCTTATAGAAGGCTTCTTACCGCCTTACCAAGTAATCACGTTCACGTTCCTAGCCTTTTTAGCCTTTCATTAAGACATATAAGTTTTACTTAGTATTTGGCTTTTTTATTTAGCTTTGTGCTCTGATATGGCATTATTTTTCAGGATGCTCCTTTGTGAGCAGCATCTGTTCCTCCCATAGTTCAATTGTAATTTTCCTTATCTTGTGTGACTGATGTCTTTGGCAGATGTCTTTGTCTGACCTGAATACTCTTTAGCACCTGTCAGCCTTCTCCTGCTCTTGCTTTGTATAATTTCCCTAAATATTGTCAGTTCTCTGGGGTAGCAGTTTTGCCCTGTTAGAATAATGAAGAATCACTTTCTGTAGAGAACAGTTTTTCTGCAAAACTTCCTATATTTCGAATCACATTTAAATTCCTTGTGTTAACTTGTGTTTTCCTACTACAATTCTGAGATTCTGAGTACTCATCCTGTGCTACACGTGTAGGTACGTCTGTGTACATTTCATGAAAATGTTGCTTAGAGGGGCACCTTTTTCCTGTTAATTTAATTTTGATTTGTATAAGTCTCATTTTCCTTTCCACTGTCAAATTCATAGGTAAAAGCTCAGAATCTGGCCAGAAGGATCCCTCAGGTCTTGCCAGAACTTCATTGATATCCCAACTCATCTTCACACCTGTTGCACATACCTTCCCAACCATCACCTACCCAGTAAAAGACTTATTCAGACTAATTGAATTTTCCACTGACACCTCCACCTCCTGGTGTTAGAGGAGCAACGATATCACCATCAGTTCTACTCTGACACTGCTGACATCATTGAATGTTTCCACAGAAAACAAATTGCAATGAATGAGCAAAAAAAATGTCTAAATTATTTTTCAGAAGTCTTTATTTTAGGAAGTTGCAATATATTATCACTGATATGGTTTGCATTTTTTTTTTTTTTTTTTTTTTGCATATAGAAATGATTTTTCATTCTCTGAAAACATCACACACAAGGAACTGAATTTTAAGTGGTAGTGGCACAGTTCTCCATTTACATCCATTTTTCATATTATTTTCCCTTGTGGCAGTTTCCCTCAGGCTAGAGCACAGGCAGCTAATCGTTCCAGGAACAAAACTTTGGATTAAAAGATTTCCAAGGCTGTTACAGAAGTCCTAATGAAAGTGTTTACTTTCAAAGTCATATTCCACAATCAAACACAGTTTCCACTCAGGCCATAGTCAGTCTTAGAAGTAAGCCAAGAGCTGACTTTAGAATGTAAAGCAAATATTCTGCAAAAGTGTTCCGCACATTGAAACTTCAGAGTAATTTTTCCAGTTGCAAGCCCTAGCTAAAGGCTTGCCAGATAGCATCTTGCCTCCTCTCACATGTATTTACAGTGACTGTTAGGGAATATCTTTAAACAAGCAGGAAAAATGGGTAAGGAAAGTTCTTCCAGACTCAAGGGCACCATTGAAGATAGAAATAATTGGCTTACTATTGCCATAGGTTAGGCTGACATTTTAAATTGAAATTTGGAAAAATGAGGGAAGGGATATTATTGACAGGAAAAAGGATGAAGGGAAATGAAAAAGAAAGAAAAGGGTAAAGTGACGCTGAGACAAAAAGACTGTGAAAGGCAAAAGGAAGAGATTTCTCACATATCAGTAATCTTCTAAAATATAAACCACTGGACTGTTTCTCTCCTGTAGAGATAATCCCGAATTTTTCCTTCCTTTGTAAAGGCCATGTAAAGATTCAATAAAAAAATCTCTTATTTAAACTGAAAGTTGTTTTCCTTACAGGTCATCTTTTTAAATTTTCAGATTTTGAATCTTTTCAATTTCTGTCAGTTGTAAATAGAAAAAGACCAGACCTTAGCTGTTATAAATATCATAGGCTAAAGAGACATCATCAGTTAAATATAGTTAAAAGAAACTACCCTTGGATATCCCATAGATGCCATTGATCTGTTCTTGCACTGGCTTTTGATACTGCAGCAGAGATAAACTTGCCCTATGCATGTCCTGAAAAGCTTACTCCATCACTTCAGAATTAGGTTGTGAGGTTGCAAAGCACTGAGGACCCTCAGCAGTCCACAAGAACTGAGGGCTTTCAGCATCATGAGGGACTGGCATTTTTAATTATCAAAGCTAGAGTCCTTGGACAACATCATTCCCCAACTCAGAGCATTATTTCCAGCAGTTCTGCTGATGAGGTATAAGCAAACAGCTCTGGAGTCTTCTACACAGTAGGAAATTTAGAAGTAGTTTCACTGCAAATGATTTCCTACAAATAAAAGACACCAATAAACACAAAACTGTGATTTTCGATTTTCAGAAATGACCTAATGAACTGAGACAGTGAAGCTAATGTGCTCCAATTATGTCAGGGAAGAGAGAGGGGAGAAAGAAGAAATGAAAAAACAAGGAAAGAACATGCATTATAAATGGTTCTGATTTCACCTTTCTGAACACCCCATTTTAATTCATAGTGAACCAGGCAGCAACTGAAAATAGACTGCAATTTTCTGAAGTGGAGAGTTTTCAAGGTGCACAGAAGGCGTATGCTTTGAACTCAGCATGGAAGAGCACCACAGCCAGTGCTCCTGGAGGCCGTGTCCTTGGAGCAGGTAAAAAATAAAGTTGTGTCATCATCCTCTTCCAGTCTACAGGACACATTTCTTTTGTGCAGGGCCTGCCCTACAATGACAGACATGTCACTCAATGTAGAACGTAGCTTCAAAGGTGCCACCTCTTCCCTTAGCACTTCCCTGAACTGTGCTCGAGACCCACACCCTCGAGAATTTTGACAAAACACTCCTTCCCATTCCTCTCACACTCCTTTCCTGCTTTATGGCTTTAAAGAAAAATTCTAGTGTTTGCTCAGCTAGAGACGTGTTACTTGATAGAGACAAAATGGGGACCTCTTGGCAGACAGACTAAGTTATACAGTTTAGTTTGGAATTTCTTGGCTTGTCTGACTCTTTTCTACAATCTCCTCCAAGAATCCTCTCCTTTTATTTTATTTTTTTTCAAATTTTATTTATCTTCTCCTTCATTCCCACAACATTGCTCTTAGCATGCTCAGTCCCCTTTATTTAGCCTCACTTCAGTGTATGCTTCCCGTACATTTTTGCATTCCATTTCTCTCATCAACATGACTAAAACATTTCCTAGAAAGTGCCAAAAATCAACATACAGTTTGCCACCTTTCTATTCTCTGCTAAAACCCTTGCCTCTATTTATAGTTTCCTGTGTTTAGGTTACAAATTTAGCAGAGCAGGACCATTCATATGAATGCAGTACCTAAAACAAAGGTCCCCCTGCTGAGGAATAAAAGTATATTTTTCTCCCTCTTATTTTTAATACATGTGATGGAATAAGCATTGGAAAACTCTTGCTAACAGAAGGATTAACTTTTCTTACCTTTAGGTTCTACTGTAACAAAGGATTTTTACTTCTTATCCCAAAGCATAGACTCATGTCAGCACAGTTGTGGCCATTGTGCCTTGCCACTCCATAAGAATACAAGCAGAGGAAAATCTGTGATCCTTTCCTGTGTTACCATACTGAACACAGAGAGGCTCTGAGGTAGCAGACCTCATTTTTCACCATTAAAAATGAAGTTGGTGATTTGAAGAAGTGGTTTGAAATCAATAGGATGCAATTCTGTAAGGACAAGTGAAAGTGCTACAGTTAGGCAGAGTAATCAACTGTACAAATATAAGGTGGAAAATGAGTCTGTAGGAAACAGTTTGTGGCCTGTGGGGGATCACAAGCTGAACAGAAATAAACAGTCTCACCTCCCTGCAAAAACTATTGCAGAGGTTATCTGGGCAGTATCATGTGTGAGATTTGTACTTACTCCAGAATCAGTAAGCAGCTAATGTTCTGTATGCACCTCTAGGGACCCTGCTTTAAAAGAAATGTGAACTCCTAGAAGAAGTCCAGAGAAAGAAACAAGGTGGATTAGGGGACTGGGAAAAAATGATGTGCAGGTAAAGATTGAACAAAACCAGAGTTGTTCAGTTTGGAGAGTGAAACACTTCAGAGGAAATGTCATAACAGACTTGAACAGTACCCTGCTGAGGAATCGGAATCAATTGTTCTCCATGTCCACAGGGATTAGAACAAGAAATAATGGAATGTGGAAACTTTAGACTGGGCATTAGAAAAACTTTCTAACTTGATGAGAGCAAAGCATCGGAACAGATTGCCTGGAAAGACTGCAAAATCCATATCATTGGATTTTTTAAGAATAGGTTCCAGACATGTTTTATCAGATTTTGTGATAACATTTGTAATAATAACACCTTATGCCTCTCTTCTGTGTTTTGTGACAAAGAACCCCAGGGTGCAGCTATCCTCTAAGTAAAACATACAGACAGGAAAAATTTGCACTCCACTTTTTCAGACAATGAGAAAAATGTCTCGAAGTAGTTAAGTCGCCTGCTTACTGAGCTGTAGGCATGCCCTAAAAAGGATTGTGCTGATAATTTGGGGTCTCAGCTCCAAGGTCCCTTCAAGCTATAATGACTCCATTGAGTCTGAGTCACCTGATCATCCTACAGATGTCTATAAAGCAAATAGCTAAAACAACTCATCATAGTGCTCTCCCTTTGTAGTCAATGAAAGGAAGCAAGTGAATCACCTGGCCTCCTAAGGTATACAATATAAGCTATATTTCGTTGTTTCCTAGGCTGGGAGTGGATGCACCAGTTAGGAATCTGAGCTTTCCAACTCCTCCCTTTTTAACCCAGGATTTGAAATAAAGTACTTTAAAGTTACATATTTGCATATAGAAAAGTATGGCTGTAACATGGCCATTCTCAGTACACGGCTGAGGTTACTATGGAGTAAATTCTGCATTAAGGAGCAGAACCAGGAGACATTCCCCTTCTACATTTTAGCATGTTAAGATGACGGCTCAATTGTAAGAAGATGAGCTGCCTCACAAATCTTGTATGATAGATGAAGATGGCCATAGGAATATGACCTCTTCAGCTCTCATGTGTTTCTATAATTTACCACATGATCCATCCTGCATCTATAAAGTGAAAAGGATCTCTCCAGATGTACTAGAATAAAAGTCAATTCTAGTAACAGCTTTCATATTGCCTTTGCCCCAGAAATCAATCTCCTTTCACACTAGATTTGTTTCGCAAATATGGAAACTTTCTCCTGGTCTGCTTCCCAGAGGTTTTCTTCCTTACTTCAAAAACATCATCTCTTTAGCTTCAAATCTCTCTCTCTCTCTTTCCTTCTCTTTTTGCCCTCATTCCTAGCATGAGGTATCACCTTTAACTGTGTCATGAGCTTTTAGAGAGACCTGACAAATCCTGAGAAAGAATGGCTTGTTTAGGTGGCAGAATCAATATTCTCCTTGGGACCACAACACAATTCAGGAGTGTTATTAGCTAGGCATTCTAGCAGAGGGGATCAAAGTGAGGACCTGTGCCCCTGACCTCCTGTGCTACAGGGGAGGGAGTTGCTCTGCAGCCACAGAGTGGAAGGCTGCCAGGTCAGCTGTGGGCACCGGGCACAGCAGCAGACCAAAGAGAGCTTAGCAAGAATTAGCAGTGCTTGATATGAGCTCCAGGCAGGTGCTGAGCCATCACCATTTGCTTCTGAACAGCTCCTGCCTTAGGCTATGCAACACCAAGTGGGCCCCCTGTTAAAGGGGGAGACCCATCCAGCCAGTGCCTCACTGAGTTACACACAAGGTTGAGTTACACACAAGGTTGAGTTACTAATTTGGAAAGACTTTTACTTCCATGGATCATAACATTTGGAGAAGGGGCTGCAGTGTCTAATTTTAATTTTGTCATTGCCCTGGGCTGGGATGGAGTCAAAGAAGTGGGGAAGATTCCATTTTGCTCATACATTTGATCTATGTAATTGCAGATTCTCCAGGATGTGGATGCAACAAAAGAAAATGTCTGAATTAGGTTCCAGCTGACAGTGCCTCTTATTCTGAAAATACCAGTACAATCACAGTACTCATTTGGCTTTGTTTTACTCCTGTATTTGGAAAATTGCCACTACTGGTCCCTTTGGCCACTTTCTGTCATCTCTTCCAAAAAAAGCCAACTAGCTTGGCTACTCTGAGGGCTAACTTGGCAGCTGTTATCTTCCAGATTATATTTCTTGAGCACTGGCATCTGCAGCAGTGACCGGCCCTTCCTGTGGCCTCTGCCCTGGCTTCGCTCCCAGCAGCACAACAGCCTCAGGCTGGTGCAGGATCAGTCTGCTGCTGGAATCCCTTCATATCCTGGTGGCTGCTCTCCTTTGAGCCCACCTTGAAAACAGAAAATATGCTTCACAGGAGCTGCCACACTTGCAAACAAACCCAATGGGCTACATCCTGTGTTCAAGACAACCACAGGCCTAATATCATTCGAAACACACCTGGAAATTTGTTGTTGCCACAATGCGGCTGTAAGAGGTGCAAATCACTTGTGTTTGAGCCTTTCTTCATAAACAAGGCAGAGATTTTATACCTGCCTTATTTTCTGATCCAGTTTTCTCAGATTTCTTGTATACAGTCGCACAATTGAATGCAATAAAACTTAATTACCACCCATCAGCAGATGCATAACAACTAACAGACTATGTCAGACTATCCTAAACCTGGATGAATCAATGTAACATAAGAAGGCAGCCCACATTTTTATAAAGCACTAGAAAACTCTCTAAGTCCAGAGTCTGCACTTGAAATAGGAGATGGAAATGAATAGGACACAAATTAAGATGAATAAGGATTTGGTAGATAAAGATCATGAAAGCCTAAGAAATCTTGCAAACGACTAAATTCTACATCAAATGTGCAGCCTATGGAATTTTAAAAATAAATGTTCAAAGCAGGTTCCAGGTTCTTCTTAGATCACTAAACTAAGTCCTGTCTGAGACCAATATTTCAAATGAATTAGCCTTAATATGTTTTTCTAGCAGAAATCTAACTCAAAAAAACATGCCAGAGGAAACATGGCAGGAATTGCAACCAGTGAAGCAGGCAGGGTGTATTCTATGTCCATTTCATCTTGATGTAACATTTCACAAATGCAAATATAGGGTTAATTTTTTTTTAGGTAAGTTCAAGATGCAAAGTTCATTCAAAGCCTCCCAAGAACTCCCCATCGCCTACAGAGTTATTCTGCACAGGAAGGAATCATGTCATACACTCAACCTGCAGAGGCTGCTACCCTGCCTCCTGGGACAGTTCCCAGCACCATCATTCAAATCCTTTGCCAGAATGCAACATAATAATCAAGCAGCAGGCAAAGGGAAAGCAGAGGGACAACGACAGACCAAAACAACTCTGCGTCTGTCCCCTGTTTTTGTGAAGATTTGATATGTTGTAGGTAAAGTATTACTTCACATGAGATTTAATTTCCCAGTCAGGAATTGTATTTTTCTGTTCAAGACCCCTCATTGACCAGGCAGAGGTCAGATGTGAAAGTTCATTCTCCCAGTGTCATGGCCCTGTAGATCACATTGAATTCCTGTAGCAACACATTGAATCTCACTTGTAGCCAGGACAGTGAGGCAGTGAGTGAGTCTGATAAGCTGTTGATCAAATTGAGGATACACAACAGCTGTATTGTCTGATCCATTCTGGGACATTCAAGCTAGACCAAGCTTTGCTTCAGAATCACAACAACCTTGGCCACAGCTGAAATCTACTGAACTCAGATACAAATGAATAAAAATTTACAGAGTTAATTTCTCAGGTGTACAAAGCGCGTTCAGCATTTACTGTGCAATAATAGAGTATTTTGCTTAGCAAATGAGAATTTACATGGGCAAGTACAGGAAGTTTGGTTTCATTACAGAAGCTGAAAAGATGGCAGAGGCAACCAGGCACCTGATAATTCTTCCATTAAATAGGAAATTTCCAAATAGGATATCACTACATACCTCCATTCTGCCCACTCTTACAGTCCTTGGGCAGTGTGTGTAGCAAGGGAAAAGTTGCAAAATGTCTGCATTTTCTCATGCTTTGTTTCATCTAATGTTCTCAAGAGATTTCAGCTTCAAGCTCTTCTAGATGAATTTCTGGCTTCAGAAAAATCACAGACCCCTGACCCCTCTGTTAGGCCTTCACCCATGAGAGTGAGTTCATATGAATCTACTAGTTGTGGTTGTAATAAGGATTATTTTTAAATCTCTTATACTCTCTACAAAACATCATTTGCATTTTAAATGTAAAGTACTGCTACACTTAATACAGCTCTGCAGTCAAACTGAAGTCAGCAGCATCACATCCTTTTTAACTGGTGAATTTAGTTCACTTGAGGTAAAAGACATAGTTGCAAAAGAAGGATCCTGATAAGCTACTACAGGCACCACATCCCATCATGTCTTTCAGAACTGATCAAAATCCCTATTAATACTAATTAAAGTCTTCATTAGCTCTCCAAACTGGTCAGGTGTTCCAGACTCCACTCCTCAGATTGCTATATGATTTCTAGCCTGAATTTGTGTATGGGCAATCACAACACATTGATCCTTATGGCAGCGTTGCTTTTCAGCTGAAGGAAGTGTTTCTTCTTCCTTTGCACTTACCCCAGGATGTATTAAACAGAGCAAACCCCTTTCTCCTAGGCCTAACAAGCCATGTTTCAGTCTCATCTCAAAAAAAAAAAAAAATAGCCTAGCATTTCCCAGAGTAATTTATTTCTTCCTTAAATATGAGTTACAAGAATTGCGCATAATTTTCCAGATAAAATACCAATAATATAATTTTCCATCTCACTAGAAGTACCTTACCTGACTTGCCTTAGGAACATTTGATCTTTTTCATGACCAAATCATATTGGGATATGTTGGTCAATCTGTGACTGTCTGATTCATCCAAGCTTCCTTACTTCCTTAGTAAATTCCAAAACTTGATTTCTGCAGCTTACCAAATAAGTTCTTTTTACAAATTCCTAAATGCAATGGCTGAGTTCCAAAAATGTTCATTATTTTTCCTCTCTGTTTTTCAAATGAAAAGTCAAGTTCACTCATGGTATAAGAACTTTCCAGCTGGATTTAACTGTATGGATTGGACTTCCATTCCATATCTGGGCTGGACTCCCACTCCATGTCAGGTGTTTTACTCATTATTCACATCATCTCAATATCAAGAGGGTAGTGATGGCTCTTTTATGTCTTATTAAATACACAGTCAAGCTTCATAGTCTCAACAGATACTTTTCAAAGCAATTATGTCTTTCATCTTTAAGCAAGGATAAAAAGAATCTCATAGATGGGGAAGCCAATGC